CGTTAAGACCAAAGCAGACTGTGAAGAACTTCAAAAAGATCTCACAAAACTAAGTGATTGGGCAACAAAATGGCAAATGAAATTTAATGTGGATAAATGTAAAGTAATGCACATTGGAAAAAATAACCCCAACTATACATACAATATGATGGGGGCTAATTTAGCTACAACAAATCAGGAAAAAGATCTTGGAGTCATCGTGGATAGTTCTCTGAAGATGTCCACGCAGTGTGCAGAGGCGGTCAAAAAAGCAAACCGGATGTTAGGAATCATTAAAAAGGGGATAGAGAATAAGACGGAGAATATATTATTGCCCTTATATAAATAGATGGTACGCCCACATCTTGAATACTGCATACAGATGTGGTCTCCTCATCTCAAAAAAGATATACTGGCACTAGAAAAGGTTCACAGAAGGGCAACTAAAATGATTAGCAGTTTGGAGAGGGTCCCATACGAGGAGCGATTAAAGAGGCTAGGACTTTTCAGCTTGGAAAAGAGGAGACTAAGGGGGGATATGATAGAGGTATATAAAATTAATGAGTTATGGGGAGAAAGTAGATAAGGAAAAGTTACTTATTCCCATAATACAAGAACTAGGGGTCACCAAATGAAATTAATAGGCAGCAGGTTTAAAACAAATAAAAGGAAGTTCTTCTTCACACAGCGCACAGTCAACTTATGGAACTCCTTACCTGAGGAGGTTGTGAAGGCTAGGACTGTAACAGCATTTAAAAGAGAACTGGATAAATTCATGGAGGTTAAGTCCATTAATGGCTATTAGCCACGATGGGTAAGGAATGGTGTCCCTAGCCTCTGTTTGTCAGAGAGTGGAGATGGACGGCAGGAGAGAGATCACTTGATCGTTACCTGTTAGGTTCACTCCCTCTGGGGCACCTGGCATTGGCCACTGTCGATAGACAGGATATTGGGCTAGATGGACCTTTGGTCTGACCCAGTACAGCCATTCTTATGTTCTTATGCACATATTAAGATCAACCAAAAGGAAAAGTGGAACAGTATTAACACTGGTTCTTAGTAAAACCTGGGAAACTCTCATTGCGCCTATTCTCATATTGTTAAGGAAATAACTAACTCCAAATCTCCTGTAGTTAAAATGATGAACTGAGTAATGGGGATCCCCCCCACCAATGATTCAGAGCTCAACTGGATTTTGACAGACTAATAAGTCTTTTTAAAATTAACCTTATGATTAACTAAAAAACCCTTTTTAAAAAAGCAAAAAAACCCTACTTCCTGGAAGCTACAACTTTCCAGCTAGCAAACTGGAAGTACAACAGTTAGGGGAGCATAGTCTTTGTACTGAAAGCACTGGATTCTTAATGCTGATTTTTGGCAAGTTTTCATACATATTTTACAAGATGTAGTTTTAGGGGCTGCTTCTTTAATTTGAAGACAGTTTTCAGAAGAAAATGAGAAATTCTGTACCTCTGATTTGTATTCCTCCCCTTCCTCTTCAATCTAGAATTCTCAAACCAAACCATTAAATCAGATCATCCCTCCTCCCACCCTACAGCCCGACCTCAGCAATGGACTTCACCTTGAGGGAGCACTCTGGTTTGTAGCAGCAGGGAAGTGGGACAGATCAGAAATGCACCATATTTAGAAAAAAAAAGGGTGGTCATTTCCATCTTAAATTCCTCATGCCATCTGGTACTAATATAAAGAAATTAAAGTTAACAAAAAGATACATTAATCTGAAAAAATTTAAATGTTATACTGAAGTTTACTTAATCACTGTTTTAGAGACAGTGCATTATGTCAATGTGGGCAGCCACAAACTATGACACATTGTTGAGGATTGCTAAATGACAATTTCCTGAAGGTCTTCATGCCTTAAACATCATCGATAAGAACTTGGCTTGGCTCGACAGGATTGCATACACCAAACAAACAAACATAATCACTAATATCTAACATGTAGTGACTACACATGCTTCACTCAAACACACACATTTCAAAGAAGAATAAAAGTTTCCATTTTAATTTTTTTTTTAAACTTCTTGCCTACCAGCATAACAATGGCATTTCAGATACATCCACAACAATTGAAAATGGGAGAGATTAAATAAATTTGTTTCACATACATATATAACGGTAGAAAAATATAAAAAAAAATGTGTACGTTTAAAGTGTAACAGGCTGTTATTCTAACTCAATACCAGGGTATTCTTGGTGATGCCTTTCTGCCCCCTTGACCACTAATATCCTTTTACAGTTACCTACACATTCCTGCTAGTACCAAGTAAGTTTTGCCCAATAAAATATGGGCCTGACAGGTAATCTGGGTAGAGCTGATAGCTGCAGTCTAAAAAACATTTGAAAAGTTTTACCTTTAAGCTGGCCCAGTGCTGTGGTGCCATACAAGAGACTAAGGTTCAGGATCAGACTAACGATTCGCACATCCTGGGGCAGTGGAGGCTGGACACATAGTTGAGGAAGGAAGAGACGGCCAGCCCAACCCCTCACACAGCATCCCTTTCTGGTTAATCCATGGAGTGACAATGACATTGATTTGCCTCATCCTGCCAGTTAATGGCAAGGCACTGCATTGATGGCTCCTAGAAATGGATAGGAGTGATTGGGAATAAAAGGGGGGGGAAAAAGGGGGCCAGGATGAAGAAACGAGTAAAACCCAGAATCTCTCACCATCTCATTGTCATACCTTACACTGTATGTACACTGTAATATCATAACTACATGGGGAATGTAAGAACTAGAAATAAAAATAAAATGGTTAATGAGAAGGAAATTTGCTACCCATTTTAACAACTTATGCAGATATCTAAGAATTTAAATTTTGTTTCCTAAAACAAAAATTCAATACTAGAAACTACAGCAAGCAGGTATTGTAGAACCTGCTTAGTTCATAACCCTGTAGCAAGAGATAAATGTATTAATTACAATCAACATTTTATATTCTGGCACATGTAGAGTTCACCTTTTCATTATACCAAGAGTATGTTCACAGTTTGCTTTGTATTTAAAATTGTTTGTGTTTAAATAAAGTTTGCATTACTCACCAAACAATGCCCTGAGCCCCAGATCCTATGGGCTTCAATTGTTGGTACCGTTTTAGTACAGTGAATGTGGAATCTGCGACTTGAACACCGTAAAACTGACTATCACATTTACTGTCACTCATGTTGCAGTGTCATGTAGTTTTTTCCCCCAAGGACCTGGCAGTTTTCAAGATCTTTAAACACAAAAAGAGATATTGAACAATTGTTTATTCTAAACAGGAAAATTCATTAAAATCTTTTCAATATTTTCTGTATAACAATTTTTCAATACATATACCATTTATTACATGATTTTTTTCATCAGGAATTATTATTAGTGCTTTGGTTTATTATTAATACATAATGTACACATATGCAAGATGGCAAAAATAAATGGACTCTTCACAGATTTAAACAAATTAGGCATTATTTATCCAGTTACCAGTTCTTGTAAAATAAGATACACAGAAATCTTTATGGATGAAATCACTGCTAAATAGAGCAACTGTTTCCTTCATAACCCCAAGAAGCAACTTTCTTTTACTGATTCAAACGGCAGAATTTAACATTCCATGGGACTGTGATTTAACCAGCAACCTTTAAGGGGGAGAATGTAAAACCTATATCTGGAGTTGTTATGCTATTACTATTGTATGTGACTGCAATCTCATGGCAATATTCAACATTTCTTTGTGCATTTCAAGAGCAGATAACAGGCATGGAGGTCAGTAGCACAAAAGGGAAGAGCACAGTGAGTGGCCTGGCAAGCAATGGGAAAAGCCATGATAACAGGCAGAAACAGAATTGCAAAAAGACATAAAAGTGTGTTCAAGGAGTTTGAAATTTATGCAGAAAGACGCACAGAGCCAATAAAGGGACTCAAGAGAAGGGATGAGATGATCAGAGCAATAATGGTAGATGTATATCTTAACTTTAGTAAAGTTTTTGATACTGTCTCGCATGACCTTCTCATAAGCAAACTAGGAAAATACAACCTAGATGGAGCTGCTATAGGGTGGGTGCATAACTGGTTGGAAAAGTGTTCCCAGAGAGTAGTTATCAGTGGTTCACAGTCATGTTGGAAGGGCATAACGAGTGGGGTCCCACGGGGATCAGTTCTGGGTCCGGTTCTGGTCAATATCTTCATTAATGATTTAGATAATGGCATAGAGAGTACACTTATAAAGTTTGCAGACAGTACCAAGCTGAGAGGGGTTGCAAGTGATTTGGAGGACAGGATTTCCTTTAAGATAAAATTTGAAGGGGGGAAAAAAAGCAACAACTTTTGGCTTTTCAGGTTTGGTTCTTTGACTGTGATCAATACCACAAGGCCCTACTTTTTGCAAGATTCAAGACTGCAGATACTTAATGTTCTAATAAAAACTTTACCATGGTCAATGAGCTATTAAAAAAATCACATTATGTAGATCTACAAATCCTGGAGTTTCCTTCAAAAAAGATTAAGATCTCCTACTCCTTTCACCCATCTTTCTACAAAAGAGAAATTCCATGCATGTTCAGTTGTGAATAAAATATTGAGAAATTCCAAGAGCTAAACTAGAAATAAATCTATAACCATATAAATCATGGAAAGAAGCCCCACATGTGAAATACAACTAATTTCAAGTACCAATACTAAATTAATCAAGTTACAAGGGAAGACAGCCAAAACATACCACTTTAAAAATAAAGAGAAGATTTTCACAATAAAAAAACATTTACCAGACAGTACCTCACCAGCCATTTCAAATTTGGTTCATACAGCATCCATGAGAGTCTATAATAAGATGTAAATACACTATACAGACTATTTCTACACTATGTAGACTATGCTGGCATAGCTACATTGACATAGCATAATGGTGTATGTAGATGCAGCCTACACAGTGTAGGAACACCACCTCCCTGAGCAATGGCAGCTGTGTTGACAGAAGCGTTCTTCCATCAACCCTACCTGCATCTACACTGGAAGTTAGCGTCAGCATAGGTATGTCAGTCAGGCATGTGAAAACACACACTCCTGACCAACGTAGTTATGTTGACCCAACTTTTAAGAATAGGACAGGCCTGTGCAATGTTGACTACTTCAAAGTAGCAGTCCCAAGGACTGCTTTCTGTGCTTGCTAACTAACAACATTCTAAAGATAACTGTAGTTTGTCAAAAAACGTTCTCTAAACTCGCATGTTGTTACCTATTGTCTCGGCTGTTTCATTTACTAAACTGATGAGTTAAAGATTGATGTGATACATTCAGAAGGCTATTTTCTTTTGGACATTTTAAGAAATTCTGTTCAGTGGCACAGGTATATAGTTAAAGAATTACCAGTTGGGTTTGAACGATTGTTTTTCTAAGAAATGTGATAAATACATTGAAACCCAGGGTATATAATTTTTGCTGGTTTTGATATTTTCATTTGTCTGTCTGTGATGTGATAACTTTTGAACGCAGCATCTGATCAATTCCACTAGAGGATACACTGAGACCAATTAGCTTCAGCTACTGTCTACAGATTAAAGAACCCAGCAGATGACAGCCATAAAAATCTTCCAGCATAACATCATTCATTTTAGCTCTGTCCCAATAGATTTTAAAATGTTGGCCGCCTGAATGACTTATCCCCCAGATGGAAAGAAACAATACTGGTGGTGGAGAAGGTGCAAACAGGGTGAGCACACAGAGCTCCTTACATGGAAGAGGAGAATGAAGGACCTGGCATGGAGGGGAAGGGGGAAATAGAGGGCATACAAAGCCCCTGGCATATGGTGGAGAGGGAAATGGGAGACAATGGGCAGGGACACAGGGATCATACAGAGTACTGGCAAGGGAGGGGGAGGGAAGAAGGGAGGCACGCTGAGGTCTTGGTAGGCAGACCCAAGTATGGGAGTAGGAGGAATATGGGGCACAATAACCCCTGGTGTAGGGGGGAGCGGTGGGGGGGGGGGCGAAAATGTCCCTGAAATGAGGAAGAGGATAGAAGGGGTGCAGGGAGTCCCTGAAATAGAGGGGGACAGGACGGGAACACACAAAGAGCTTGTGTAGGGAATGGAGTGATGCAAAGAACCCCTAGTGTGTCAGTGAGCTTAGCCCACCAAAGCAACAAAGTGTGCGACCCTGTAGAACAGGCCTAATAGGATTTAAAGAGTTGTTCAAGAGAGTACCTGATTACATCCAGGTACTGCAAGAATACTAAACTTTATTTAAATAAAGAGGAGAAATAGCCTAACTTTACAAAAAAGTTATAAAGAGAGACTCATAATGAGCCATAAAGAGAATTATTGATAAATTCAGAATTTTTGAACAATCCTCCCTCTTCCAAAGCTCTTTCAGACATCCGAGTCACCCCAGTGAGTTCTGAGAACTCTGTAAAGCAGAGTTCCAATTTTTCCTATATTTTAATTTTCAGAGCATTCGTTTTATATTTTGTTTTATGGGATAGGATTAAGACAATCTTCGTCACACTTTCAAATTGAGGAGGCATAGCTGAAAGAATACAAACTATGAAGTGGGAATTTTTTTAAACTACATAATGGGGAGCATTAGATTAGTAGTCAAAACTTTAAAATATCATCACCATAGTATCCAAGCATATAACATAATTGCTGCCCTAACATTAAGCAGTTTATTGCTGTTCTCTCCATCATTCCTTCCCCTATTATGTCCTCAGCCCCCCACCCCTTGAGGAGTCCCCTCTCTTTCTTATTCTCTCTGAGCAAGGGTCGCCACATGGGTAGTTAGTGTGCAGCAAGCAGGTTTGCTGTAGATGTACACTCCATTTTGCCATGCCCTGAATCTCTGCATAGACAAGTCCTGCAGACCAGAGGAAAGGCAAGCTTTTAAATATCACCCACCCCATCCCCGATCTTCAGCATTTGAGCTTAATGGGTGGCAGAACTGTGGTCAGCAACTGAGTAGAACTGAGGTGAGCAAAGTGATCACTGGACAAGGAGAAGGTTAAACCCCAAAGTAAAGTAAAGATCACAGCTACTTGTCCTAATTGCAGCAACTGTCTGGGTAACTGGGATGGGACCATTTCCCAGCACACTATAAGAAGGCTATGACAGGGGGAAAAGGGTCCACAGTTTGCAGCTATTAGGAGCCAGACTCTCCTTAGGCCTTATCTTCACTAGGGAAAAAAAAGGTCCTTACTCCTGGGGGCATTCTGCACCAAAAAGTTAAAAATTCTGCACACAATATTTTAAAATTCTGCAAATTTATTTCAAAATACCTGGCAACAAGTTTGTCTGTAACTATACAGATACACACAAAAAATTCCCCCAGGAGTAGAGAGTTAAAGAAACCCCTATGACAACCCAGTTCCTGTTTCTCTGCCCCCACTCCCCCCCGAGCCCAGCCAGGTGGCCAGACACCCACAACTCCTACCCCTCAGAGCCCAGCCATGGCCCTCCAGCCAATACACCCAAATCCCCTCCCCCCAAAGCCCAGCCACAGGGTTCCCCTTGCCCAGATACCCGCATCCCTCCCCCCCCAGAGCCCAGCCACAGGGCCCCTCCAGCCCAGATATCTGCACACCCTCCCCCACAGATCCCAGCCGCGGGGCTCCCCGGCTCAGATAACCGCACCCTCTCCCCCCCAGAGCCCAGCCATGGCCCCCCACAGCCCAGACACCTGCCTTCCCCTTCCCCAAGAGCCCAGGGATCCAGAAAGAGAAACAGCCTGATGCACCACCCTCTCCTGCCCTAAGGGCATGCTGGGAACTGCAGCTGCCAGGAACCCTCTAACTCCCTCTCCCTCCCCCCAGAAGTGACTTCTATGTGGAGTTGAGCTCTGCTGGGTCCAGTGGCCCCTAGTGGCAGCTAGCAGCACTGCAGCCCATTTCTGTGGAGGGGGGGGGGGGGAGAGGAAATTCTGCATACATGTTAATTTCTGCAAAATTCTGCATTCCACAGTGGCACAGAATTCCCCCAGGAGTAAAAGGTGTATTGATAACTAGAGGTAAATTTCTAGTAGAGAAAAGGCAGTTTGTAGTTTTCATACAAATCAGTAGGTGAAGTTAGAGACTAGGCTTGCCCACAGGCTTCAACTCAACATGCTAACTCATGTGAAGAATACAAATTGCCTTGTCTTTACCAGGGTTTTACCTTGAGCTAGCTAACTTGAGTTAAGAACACTTTTTTCTGATAGCATTAAAGATGAAGCATTAAAGGAAGGAGGAAGCTACACGCTCAAAAAGCATTTTGACAGAATTTGACTGTATAAAACTATCCTAAAATTAAGCTGATTTAGAAGCCAGGATAAACGTTCTCTGAACTCCAGACTGTTGGAAACTGGTTTGATTAGGGTTCAAGACCACCAACTTTGTCAGTCAACTCGATTTCTTGACTCTCAGGTACCAGTCTCTTAACTGACAATAGTTTATTTGACCTATCATATACGTCATGGGTATACAAAGCATATTCCGTACATCCTGACAGTAGACCAGTATCAGTAGGCCCAACACTGGTATGGAAAGTAAAGGACTCCACTGGAATTTAGCATCACATTCAATTTCAAAAACAGAAGTTTTCAGTTACTGGTGTCCTCATTTTATTTAGTGAAACCATTATGATCAATATAGAAACAGAAAACTAAGGTATTCATACTATGAAAGATGGACAGTGATGACAATCTCACCAACATCTTCATAAACTGACATCTCTTGAATCAATATTATGTACTACTAATTTAAAAGGATTATACAAAAGTGAGAAATATGCACATGGTGCATAAAAAAGCAGCTTACATACACTGGGTGGTCCAATCTGAAAGTTATTTTGTTTTCCAACTAGTTGCAACCACGAGAAAAGTTCCAGATCCACAAGGCTAATATTGCATGTCAGATGCAGTAAACTTGTGAATACATTTTAGCTTACATGCACTATTTAAAGTGTAATTACAGTCAGGAGAGTGACTATTCAAAAGTGGCATGTTCTTACTAAACAGACCCATTCTCTGTATATCTTCAAGTCACATCTGCTTATTTCAGAGACATACCAAGTTACTACTGTTAGTATTTCACTCTAAATACAGGTCTGGAGAAAGGCACTTCAACAAAAATATAAACATCAATTTTGTAGAAGAATCTTTATTGCTGGCAATGAAGGGCAAAGAATCTCAAGGAGCATAACTTGATTTTTAAATCCCAGGTTGAGATTCTAATACTGGTAGTTAGGATAAAATTTGTAAGTTTATAAAATGAAAAGATGAAGTCACAGAAACAAGATATGTAAAGTTTCAGTGTCACTTTTTTGTTTTTAACTATCATTTTTTGTACCATAAATGCACTTAAACCTAGCGTGTACCTTACTGGTAGGTCAGTGGTCCCCAACCTGCTCTGCCCCTAGCTCTACTCCAGCCCAGGCCCAGATACCAGCTCCCGGCCATGGCTCCGGCTCCATTCCCAACCGCAGCCCCCCCAGTTCCAGCCCTGCCCGTGGCTCTGCTCCCGGCTGCTGCCCCAGCTTCAGCCCCCGCTCCCCCGCAGCCCCTCTCCCACCCTGCTCCTGGCTGCAGTTCCAGCCCCACTCATAGCCGCAGTTCCGCTCGTGGCACACCAGCCGCAGGCCCGCTCCCAGACTGGCTGCAGACCCGCTCCTGGCCCCAATCATGACTCTGAACACTCTGGAATGTTAGACTTTTTAGGATAATCAGTTTTTAACCTAATAACCTTGATAGTGAATTTAGATCTTGAAAAGATCTCAGTAAGTTGAGACAGCATCTTAGTTCTGAAGGTAAAGTTCTGTCACAGCTGGTATATATTGTATAGCAATAGATCAGACCACACTAGATGATTATAATGATCCCTTCTATAGTGTTGAAATCTATTCAGCTGAACTACTATTGAAATGTAGTAGTTAAGACAGTTACTAACAAAACAGACATAATGTACATAAAATACAAGAAACCAATAATTGTCAAGCAGTTAGAATGAAATGGTATACACTCCTAGAGATTAAAAGTGTCTTCAGATTAGACGTTTGGCAACTAAAGCTTCTAGACCGGGGTCGGCAAACTTTTTGGCCTGAGGGCCACATTGGGTTTCCAAAACTGCATGGAGGGCCAGTTAGCAGAGGCTGTGCCTCCCCAAACAGTCAGGAATGGCCTGCCCCCGCCCCCTATCCGATCCTTCCTGCTTCTCGCCCCCTGACGGCCCACCCGGGACTCCTGCCCCATCCACCTCCCCCCCTGTTCCCTGTCCCTTGACAGCCCCTGGAATCCCCACCACCCCATCTAACCCCTTCTCTCATTCCTGACTGCCCCCAGGGGACTCCTGCCCCATTCAACCCCCGTTCCCCACCCTCTGACCACCCCAACCCCTATCCACACCCCCGCCCCGAGCACCACCCTGAACTCCTCTGCCCTCTATCCAACCCCCCCTGCTCCCTGCCCCATTACTGCGCTGCCTGGAGCACCAGTGGCTGGCGGTGCTACAGCTGCGCCACCCAGAGCACCAGGATAGGCAGCTGCACCGCCCGGCAGGAGCCAGCCACACCACCGTGCGGCTCATAGCACCAGATCAGGCTGCAGCTGCACTGTCCCAGGAGCTCGCAGCCCCGCTGTACAGAGCATTGCACCGGCAGTAGAGTGAGCTGAGGCTGTGGGGGAGGCGGAACAGTGGGAGTGGGGCCGAGGGCTAGCCTCCTGGGGCAGGAGCTCAGGGGCCAGAAAGGAAGGTCCCGCGGGCCAGATGTGGACCATGGGCCATAGTTTACCCACCTCTGTTCTAGACTGCTGCAGTGATTGTACTCATTCTCCAAGCAAAAGGCTAGTCAACAGCTACCTCTAAAGCACATTTTAGCAGTACAACCAGTGACAAGCTTCCCAGGGCTGTTTTTCCATACCACAGATTATGCTGCCACATAGTGATTTAACAGATTTAAAGAGAGTATCTTAAAAAAAAAACCCATCTTTTTAGGTTGTGAAATTATTCTGGTTCAGCAAACAGAAAGCTAAAGTCATGTTGCTAGGTCAATTTTTAATCACATTTTTACACTTTGAGCAACACTGCCCATTGATGTGGGATGACACCTTTTTCCAGATCAATCATACTCAATATATGCTGCTCATCAAGGGGCTTTTATACCGATTTAATGTCCCAGAAACGCAGACTGGCGCCCAGACACTAGTATACCAGTTGCCCCGAGAAGACGGGCTCCTTTTAGAACAAGGGGCCCATGCACATAAGCAAGACAACGAGACCAACATCTCAGTGCAGGGAACAGACCTTAAGTGCCCGACCTGTCACTGAGCAATAAGCGCTGCTCGGGTTCTCCGGGGAAGCCTATTGACAATGAATTTCCCACAGAGTTTATTACACCCGGGGGGTGGGGGGTGGGAATTCCTTCCCCACACGCTGCAGTCCAGCTACTAACGCCCCCCCCCGGCGGCACGAGGCTGAGCGCCCCCGAGGCGGGCGGGCGGGCATCCACCTGAGACGGTTTCTGCTGCAGCAGGACGGAGGATGCGAACCGAGGGCAGGAGCTCGCGACCGGCGGGGCTGGGCTCTGACAGACTGCGGCACCGGGGGGGGGGGGGCTTTGGCGAAAACACAGCCCCGGCCCTCTGCGGGGCAGCTCCAGGGGCACCGCCTCGGGCCGAGCCCCAGCGACAGCCCGCCGGGCAAAGCGGGGGAGGAGGGACAACCGGGAAAGTTTCCGGCGACAGCTTCGCGCTCAGGGGAGCGGGCTCGGCCAGCCGGACCCGCACGGGGTGGCGGGCTCAAGTCCCCACACCACTGGCCCCCGGGCCTGGAGACTCGCCCCTCCCCCCCCATTCCGCCCGGCTACAGAAACCGCCCGGCCGCAGTTTCCCCTTTTCCCGCCTCCCGCTGCCCTCTCCTCCTCCCTTCCCTCCCTCACCGTCTGCTCCTGCGGCTCGGCGCTTGGGTCCCGCGGTAGCGGCTTCACTCCTCCACCTCCCAAGGCCTCCCTCGCCACAATGGCCTCTCGTCGCGGCCCCCTCACGGGCCGCGCCAGGTCCGGACCCGCTGACGAGCAGCCACACTGCCCAATCAGCGCTCAGTGCCTGCCGGCCACAGCCAATCAGCGTGTGGAGGCGGGACCCGCTAGCCACTACATAAGGAAGAAGAGGCGTAGGGGGCTGCTGCAGTAGAGGCGGGGAGGTTGTGGGGTTGGTTAGCCTCAGTTATCTCGCTGCCGCCCCGTGCTGATGTCATCAATCCATGTTATACTGTCATCCTCATTGTGATGTAATCAGTGTGATACCACCTCACCCCACACTGCCATCATGAGAGGCTGGACCCCCTCACTTCAGGGTAAAGCACCATTGTCAGGGCAGTGATGTCAACCCTTTGCCACAAACTGCCATGGTGCCATGACGTGAAGTCATGGCAGACCCTTCTAGTCCCACACGATGATGCCATCCCCTCCTGTCAGGATGTCACTTGGTGCTCATTGCATCACAACATGCTGTGGTCACTTTCCATCCATGTTTTTAGGAGATAGTGGGGGGGATGTGATCACTCTGCCACTGTAGAGCCTCTCCAGTTAATTCGGTAACCAGGGCCAGCTCCAGGCACCAGCGAAGGAGGCAGGTGCTTGGGACGGCCAATGGAAAGGGGCGGCACGTCCGGGTATTCGGTGGCGGGTCCCTCAGTACCTCTCTTCCTCTTTGAGCTGCCACCGAAGTGCCAACGAAAAGGAAGAGAGGGGGGCGAAGGACCCGCTGCCGAATTGCTGGTGAAGAATGAAGTGGCACGATTAAGTTACCGCCGAAGTGCTGCCACTCGGCTTTATTTTTATTGCTTCATCACTTGGGGCAGCAAAAAAGCTGGAGCCGGCCCTGTTTGTAACACATGGCAGCCATATTTAGTTACCACAGAAAAAGGGGAGGAGGTCAGCATGGGGTCAGCCCTGCCCCCATTAAAAAAATTATGAATAGATATTGTAAGCTGTATCATTGGTGTAGAATGCCACATTATGTATTTATTGTAAGCAATGGCTGAGCATTGAAAGCAAAGTAAGTGAGGGGAATATTTAGGCCTCTCTTCCCTCCCCCCAACAAAAATCTACATTACAAGCCTGTTCTCCTGCATTTCTTCCCTCCCCACCTCACCTTTAAGATTGCTTGCTTTTTAGAACAGCTACTGACCAAAAGGAAAAAAATTCTTGACACAATCTACCCTTAATGGGTGGTGTCTCCTTAGTGATCATTTCCACCTCTGCCTAGTCTCCCCTTACTGTAATTTGAAAAACCATTTTAAACACCTGAATTAATGTGACTAGTTGTCAACTTGCCTTAATACTGCACCTTTTTGCAATATAAGAAAGCTAGCTGCTCAATAAACATAAGAGGTCCTTTCCACCACCTGCCAAAAAAATTCTGTTCTCAACAGATGCCATTGGCATCCATAGACCTTTAAAAAAAAAAAAAAAAAGTATAGTGAAAGTCAAAGAGTTTTGAAAAGTAAAACAAACCCTGCTTAAGAACTATTTATCAGAAACTACTACAACACGTAGAGGGGTAGCCGTGTTTGTCGCTTTTAAGTCTGGATCTGTAAAAAGTGACAAACAGTCCTGTGGCACCTTATAGACTAACAGATGTATTGGAGCATAAGCTTTCATGGGTAAATACCCACTTCATCAGACTTCAGACTACAACAAGCTATTGTACCACTATCAAGCCATTAAAATGTGTAAGTATTAAAACATCTCTATTTAAAAGCAACCCTACAGGGAGATGTCTTGTATGATATACAAAAATAGTTTCTTAACAAGAATGTACATGAGCAATTAAAATCCCAGTCAAAAACTTGAATTAAGGTAATTCTTGAATGTTCTGATGTGACAACCCATTTGACAGAGTACTTCACTCTTACAATTACCACATTCCCTTGAGATTTATAATAGCTCAATAGTGCTACTCCACAACTATGTTTACATAATGTTAAAGGTGAAATGCAAAATTTTTTGCAAATATGTATAGTTTAAGACAGGGTGGATTCGATTTAAATCACTAGTCAGGAAGACTTGATTTAATCATGGTTTTCTACATAAAAGTGCATTCTTGTTGGTTGTTATAACCTTAATACATATTTTTCGCAACTCAGATAGATGTAGGTCTCATTTTTAGAAGGTACACACTATACATTTTAAACTGATTTATTTTGAAAACTTTTCAGATTAGTTTTACAGCTATATCAGAAAATGAATGATTGTTTGGTTATTTCAATTACCAAAGGTAATTGAAGTAGATATTTATGAAGTTATTGGGAGGTGAACTCTAATTCGAAAGGTTAATCATCAATAGTTGGAGGAGTTTCTTGCTGTATTAGGAGGAAACATCACCAGACAGACATTTAAATTGTTTTAGTTAACTAAAACAATAATGTTAAGTATTCTGGATTTTTTTCCCCTCCCCAACAGCAAACGTATACTATTTTAACAAAACAAGCATATGTCCCTCGCTTCTCATATTTATCTCCAGACTTCTTCTCCTTATCCAAATCTATTCCGCCCCCAACAATCTTCTATTCACTGAACTTTTTGAAACTTTGCAGTTTTAGAGAGTTAAGGGATTGACTTTCTGTACCCAAATTTGCAGGACAATAGAGTTGAGGGCTGTTATTTCTCATCTCTATAAATTTTTTTTTTTTTAAACCTGTTACCTCTGGAGACACAAAACCAGTTTGAGAACTGCAAAACTAAGCATCTCTGATGGTATCTTCTATACTGAGCACTGAGTCCCATTGGGTAGATAGAAAGATTAACCTAAATAATCTATACAGAAGCCTGTGGAACCCCATAAAATTGGGTCCCTAATCCATGATCTATTGGAAATCATTTACAAAGCTTTTCTTAAACATTACATGACTATATTGTCTCATACTGTAGAATTAGAATTTATAATCCCTATTCCATGATGAGATATCTTTGAGCTATAATGTATCAGCTTTTTTATTTTTAAATAAAATGCTTTTTGAGGAAAAAACTTTTGTTTTGTTTTTTTAAATTCATAGATTTTTATCCACCCTGGTTTAAGATTAGAAATGATTAAAATATTAGGTACAACTTTCTATATTACCAAAAAAAAAATCTCAATTTTTCATATTTGCTATAAGAAAGTTTAACTACAGATGTAGTGCACTATAAATGGATTCTACTGTACACTGCCTATTTTAAAGAGATATTTCACAATATCAGAAGATTAGGTCATCCTTCAAAGCTGAACTTCTGGATTCTATCAATGAGACTACGTGGGATAGGATTTGTCGTAGATATTAACATGCTTCAGTGTAGAAGCTGATCAGCAGGTGGGCTTGAGTTCCCATGATACAGTATTGCAGTTATCCAACTGTACAGAACAAAGGGGAGTATTTGATAACAGGACATTTGAGGAGACACTGAGAATTTCTGTACCAAAACAGAACAGTGTTCCTGTGTGATATGATACCCAAACATCAAGGAGGATTTTCTTGCACCCTGTGTAGTTTTCAGGATCTGTGATGCCTGCTCAAGAAAAAAAAAGTATTCCAAGATTCTTGCCAATAGGGAAAGCTGGAAACCAACTCTTACACCAAGGTTTGGTTGATCCTAGCTTAAAGATGTACATAACAGTTTGTTGGCACTGGAAATTTTTGAAAGGTTTTAAGCTACAAATGCAAGTGAGATTTTTTTCTTCACATGAAAGGCATAAATGTTATGACCATAAATAGTAAAAATGGCTTCCTGTTTAAAATTGTGGGAAATGTCTAACTCAGCCATATCAAAGGAGGACAATACAAACAGCTGGTAGTTCAAATGAGAATATAATATTTAGTTTCCTTTGAGGGCTACAACATATCTGCACCCAAAGATTGATAAGCACTTTAGAAAAGCTCATAGATTCCAAGACCAGAAGAGACCATTGTGATGATCTAGTCTGGCCTGTATAACATGGGCCATAGAATGTCCCTCACATAATTCCTGGAGCTTCTCTTTAAAATCAAGATTGGATGTTTTTCTAACATTGTCAGCAATGGAGAATCCACCATGACCCATGGTAAATTGTTCCAATGGTTAATTACCTTCACTGTCAAAAACATATGCCAGTATTTCCAGTATGAATTTGTGTAGCTTCAACTTTGAGCCATTGGATCATTTGAGCCAGTGCCAAATAGAGGTAAAAATAACCTCTCTACTCCTACTCTACTTATCAGAGGACACAGAGCTGGACCGTATTTTTGTACAAGTTAATTACTGCAAATAGTTACACAGCTAAAGTAAGCGTATGTACATCCAAGGAAATAATTCAACTTGGATTGAAGCCTCTATTGTGCTAAGTATTGTACATACATACAGTAAGAGTCTGCAGTCTAACTAGGCAAGACACACAAAGGGTAAAATGGGCATAATTTTTCCTAACAAGGCACTGAAGCAGAGAGAGATTAGGTGACTTGTCCCATGCCACACAAAGCCTGGAGTGTAGTTTAACCCAGATTTTGAAATCCTGTCCATGGTCTTAAGCACAAGACTATTCTCTAAAAATGAAGCCTTGGACAACACTTTATTCATTTTTCATTCTTGCAAAAAAAGTAGTGATTGTTTTAATATTCTGATTGTTCAAAGATTGCAGATAAAATTTTCTTAAAGCTAGAAAAGCAGATATTGTACTGAAGAGTAGTTATTGTATATTCATTTGTTTCTTTCATCACCAGTTTGGAAGGGGAAAGAATCAGGTAAAAAGACTTCACACACACACACAAGAAGAGTTTACATTCTCTATTTTCTTTAATTGCATAGGAATTTGATTGTACAATCTTTTAACAGAAGCATTGTAACCCACTTGAAAATATCCAGTTCCCTTATTTTGTTGCACAGTACATTTCATGCATATGAAGGTGGGACTGCACATGAATCAAACTGTTGATCTGGTTTAGGTAAACTTTTAGTTAAATAAATCTGAAGGAGTCTTTGGGAATTTTCAGCCACAGAAGAGGGGTGGA